CCGGGACGGCACTGTCCCCACAGCCGGGACAGGACTGCCCCCACAGCCGGGACGGGACTGTCCCCACAGTCGGGACGGCACTGGCCCCACAGCCGGGGGGCTGGAGCAGCACCAGCGGGATGTCCGGGCACGGGGGCACCGCCAGGCTCTGCCCAGTCTCCCTCCCCTGGGGATGGAGCGGCTGAACTGCCCTTCTCCTGTAGGAAAGGCTGGGAGAGCTGGGGGGGTTCACCTGGAGAAGGATCCAGGAGGACCTCGGGCTCCAGGAGAGCTGGAGAGGGACTGGGGACAAGGGATGGAGGGACAGGACACAGGGAATGGTTTCCCACTGCCAGAGGGCAGGGATAGATGGGATATTGGGAAGGAATTCCTGGCTGGGAGGGGGGTATAACATCCTGATCTGCTCCCCTGCCCACAGCCCTTCAGTGTGACTGAGCAGAGGGGACACACGTGGGTGTCACTGAGCAGCCCTTCCAGCAGTGCCTGGGAAAAAGGGAAAAAAAGGAAAAATTAATTGGAGAAGAAATCTCTCTGCCTGTGTTGCTGCTGTTGGGCTGAATAAACCCCTTGGTGCCCAGAGCACCCCAGGGAGGTGGGTAAGGGGTTGTGGGACCCCTCCTGCCTGATCTGGGATCAGCAGCACCATGGGATGGGCAGGAGTGCTGGGAGGGGGATCCCAGAGCCAGCCCAGCCTATTCCCTCACACCATAAACCAGAGTTTTTCAACTTTCATATAAGTGGAGCTATTTGTGAATTCACTGTTTGTTTGGGATGTGCCTGTGGAATTTTGATGCAGAGGAAGGAATGGGGCTGCAGAGCTCAGCGCCCCAAAATCCCCCCATGCCTGAGCTGCCCAGGGAAACATGGTCCCCCTGCTTCCATGAGAGGGCCCTGGCTGTGCCTGCTCCCCTCATGCTGGGGGCTGGCCCCCAAATCCCAGTCAGGGCAGTGCAAGGTGCTCAGAGTCTCCAGGGCCCAGCCTCTGGGGGGTTTTCCTGTGGGCACACAGACCTGTCCTGGCTGGCACAGCACCCTCAGGGCACAGGATGAGTCTCCCTCAGGAAAAGTATTTGTAGGTGTGAACAAAAGGGGTAAAAACCTTTCCCTGAGTGCCCCGAATAAAACACTGCAGGGCTGGTTTTGGTTTGCTGACAGGGCAATGCAGGGCCTGTGTCTGACCTCCAACAGGCACCTCTTGTCTCCTGGGTTATAAAACACGAAATATTCCTCAAAAGTGCAATTTGAACGTCTCTGTACAGCAGGAGCTGGACACAGCCCAGTCTACCCTGTGGATCCATCTGGGAGGCAGCAGCTCCCCAGGGGATTTGTGGAACACAGCTCACCATGGTCTCTGCTCAGCAGCAGATGGATGCCCTGAGCCAAAGGGAGGGGAGAGGTGGAGGGAGAAGGCTTTATACTCATTTTTACACTCTCATATTCTCAGACAGGCACCCAAACCACCCCCAAGCTTCAGACTGTGACCTGCAGCATCAAGGATGCTGAGAGAGTCACAAACCATGGAATGGGTTGGGTGGGAAGGGACCTTAAAAAACATCCAATCTCAGGACACCTCCCACTAGCCCAGGTTGCTCCAAGCTGGCTTTGGACACTTCCAGGGATGGGGCAGCCACAGCTTCTCTGGGCAACCTCACTCCCAGAGCTGCAGATCCAGCCTGGATGGGCATGACCCAGGCAGGGACAGTGGGAAAGCCAGGTTTATCCATCCCACTTATCCCAGTTCCCAGCCTCAGCCTCTCTCTCCTGCCCATCACTCCCAGCCTCTCTTCCCGTGGCTTTTTAACAGTGATGCTGCCACAAAGGAGCAGGATTTCCATGGATTTCCCATCTGCTGCTGCACAGTTCACGCCTGATGCCCTGCAGGGCGTTATCAGCAGCTGGATTTCATCGTCAGGTTCCCTGCGGTCAGCCTGGGCCTCCCCAGAGAAAGCCAGGGGATTCCCATGGGAATGGCATCCCGGGCTCTGCTGTCCATGGTGCTGGAGCTCGGTGACTCCAGCCATGGGATGTGCTTTGACTTCTATAACTGCAAGATGTTTCTATAAATAATCACCTGACCAATGGATTTTTTATTCTGATCCATCCCTGGAAGTGTCCCAGGCCAGGCTGGATGGGGCTTGGAGCAACCTGGTCCAGTGGAAGGTGTCCCTGTCCATGGCAGGGGGGTTGGAATTAGGGTTTCAGGCTGGTTTAGGTGAGAGGCTGAAGAGGGTTCAGCCCAGTTTTATGGTTAAAAAATGCACCTGAAGCCTCAGCCATCCCCCCCCCATCTGTCTCAGGGATGAACAGATGGATATATTTCCCTAAACACCCTAAATAAAATCTTAATATCTTCAAATTCCCAATATGTGCATTGCCAGGAAATGCAGAATGAGCTGAAGTGTTTGCTTTGCTCTGCTCCCAGCACGGAGAAGTGTTGGAGTCACCAGGGGATGCTGGAAACCCCCCTCCCTCAGCTCCAAACCACACGTGGTGTGGAAGCAGGAACATGGGAGAGCACAGACACTCCACCTTCCAGGCAGGGAGGGTGAGAGGAGAGGGAGATGAAGAGTATTTTATATCATGTTCATACTTCTTACACTCAAAGCCTCAGGTGCCCAAAGTGTCCCTGGAGCTTTGGGTTCTGCTGCACCTGCTGTGGGGGTCACAGAATTCCAGGCTGAACACCCCCAGCTCTTCCAGGTTCCAGCTTGTCCCTGCTCTGCTCACAGCCCTGTAAACCCTGGGAATCAATATGTTCCATGGATCCCAGTGGGATACCCACTCCCAGGCAGCTTCTCCCCTGGCTGGCACATTCCTTGGAACTGTGCTGATGGCAAGGACAGTGTGGTGCCTCCCTTGGGACACAGGCAGAGGGATTTAATGGCACTTCCCATTCTCTTGTGGTGGTCCCCTTGCTGCCCACAGCAGCTGAGCAGTCCAGGGTGTTTGCTTTAGTCCCCCCAGGAACCTTAAACCACACCTTTAACAGTGCAGAGAGGGGTCTCTTGGCTCTGCTTTGTCCTTCAAGGGTGGGGGGCTCTGCCAGGCAAACCCAGGCCCACCTCAGAACGAAATCCCTGCTGCATCCTAATATTGGCAAAGGGCTGAGCAACCCCTCTGCAGGCTGGAGCTGTCAGAGCCAAAACATGGCCCCAGCTGTGCAGCTCTGAGCTCTTGGTGTTTGCACTCCCTCTCCAGTTACACAGAGCTCTCAGCCTGCACTCAGCTCCAGCTCTCAAGTAACAGCACGGAGAGAAATATCATTTTCCTGCTTCAAAGCACACAGGGCTGCAATTCCTAATTGCACCACCTAAGAACACAACCTGCCAGACATGGAACTTGTTCTCTCC